CGGAGCCCCCGCCGGCCCCTCACGGCCCCTCACGGCCCCGGGCTCTCGGGGGGTTCCCGGCCGCCCCTCGGGCCGCTCCCCGCGAACACTACAAGTCCCGGCGGCTCCCGGGCAGCGGGGCCGGGCGGGCAGCGGGGCGCTCCGGCGGGAGCCCGCCAAAGATCCCGCCTGGGCAGCGGGCAGTCCGCACCCCGGGCCGCTGCTGTTGCACAACCACGAGGGCTCGGTCCCCGTTCCCGGCGGGCTCGGGCACGGGACAAAGCCCAGCGGCTGGCAGCCCTGGTGGCACACAGGGTGTCCAGGAGGAAGGGGTGGTGTTGAACCGAATCGCCAAGGTGGAACAGCCAGGGGTGTTCAGGGAGGGAACAGAGGTTCAGAAGTGTCTTTSAAAAGCAGGTTCTTAAACATCCTGCTTCTCCACCTGTGCAGCCTTTCTCTGGGCACACGGATGCACCGTTCCCATTCCCACTCGCACTCAGCAATAGGGTTCTCATCTGCTCTCCTCCTTTTGCGTTTTGTTCCATCAAAGGATGGGCAGCTCTGGCTGTGGAGTGCCACTGCCTCTGGACCTGAGCTGCAGGTTTCAGCTCTGACCTGTGAGCATTGTGTCTGCAGCACAGCCCCATATTTGCTCCATGTACCCCCTTGGTCCATAACTGGAGGACAACATAAGCTGAGAAGCTACTTGGTAYTTCTGAACCCACCACTGGAGAACTCTGATGGTGGGGTGCTTGCAATGCTTTCATTCCTCCTCTCCAACATCAGCTGGAGMTTGGGGTGTGGGAGGGGATCCCAGAAATCATTGTTTGCTCATATTTTCCATCACCCAGAATCTCAAGAACTGCCCCTGTGCCTTAGGATTATAATTTCTCAGAGAAAGAGATTTTTTGCAACATGATAAATGCAGAGATAACATTTTAGTAAAAAAAAAAATCCAGTGAAGTTCTAAATCACCATCTACTTTGGCTTCTATACAGCAGGTTCAGACTCTGCAGACATTTTTTTCTCTTACAGACCCCACAGAGAAAAGCCAGTTATTTCAAGAGAAAGGAATGCATTAATGTCTGCACTCCATAGTTATTCATTAATATTTTTCTTGCACCGCTTCCATAGTTCTAAACACCCTATGCTTCATAAAAGAGAGAGAGAAAAAAAAAAAAAAAAAAAAAAAAAAAAAAAAAAAAAAAAAAAAAAGCCAAGGAAAGCCATTAAGCTTTTCAGTCCTGAAGCACCAGACTTCAAGACTAGGGCACATTTCCTTTGATTACTGTGGAAGAAAGATGGAGCTGGGCCAGCAGCACCCAACATCGCTGCAGAATTGACAGCTTTCTGYAAATGGATGGTCCATGGAGCTTTGTGTTCTGTGCAGCCACCAGCTGTCCCTGGTCCATCCCAACAGCCAGCCCCCAACACACCTTTGGGGTCGGACCCTGGGGCTGGGTCCTCTCCACCACTGAGTCACCCCTTGTGTCTGCATGACTTCCACCACAAACTGCACATCAGCTGCTTCCTGGGCCGCCCGAGCTAATGACAGCCCAGTTGGCATTCAGTCACCGTCCCTTTACAGAGCTTCATTCTGCTCCAAAKGATGGCAAGGATTCAAATCATCCAACCAGACTCGGGCTCCTCTGCAGGGCAGGCAGGGCTGGCAAAGTTCTCCATGGAGACCAGCAGAATCTCTGTTCTCGATGCTTGCACTGGTCAGGGGGGCAGAAACAGCACAAGCTTTTTCTTCTTCAAATATGAGCCCCACATTTCTCAAAGGTGAAACCCCAGCTCCTCTTCTTCCCTCGAGGCAGRAACAGGAGTTCTCTTACAGGCAGAGCAGAAGAAAGGAGTTAAAGCTAAATGAACACCACAAACCCCCTGGTGCTGCTGCCGTGGCTGGGGGAGGCCGCCTCCGTTCTGCCACATCCTGGAAAGCAGGACGGGAAATGAAATCTCCTGTCTCATGGTGCAGCTATTGCAAACACAGCCTCTAATGAGCTGTTACCACAAACACAGCAGGAAAGGGAAGAGAAAGTGAGTGAGAATACCTTTATGGAAGTTAATTAATTTTCTTCTATTTTTTTCCTCCCCGTCCTTGTGATAAGCAATCATCCTCCTCCACGAAGCACCGACAGATAAAATCCAGCCATCAGATCAAAACTGCAGGAGCTTGGCAGAGCCACTTTGCTGACACCACCCTGTGCTTYTCCTGCAATAACAGGAGAACCTGAGAAGAGAAGAGTATGTTTCAGCTTTCTCTGGTCAAAGGCAGCCCCTGCAAAGACACATCTCAAAGGATGGAGCTGCCTTGGGGAAGGCAGGAMATTGCTTAGCACAGATCTGAGTGCAGACTGCAAGCAAGAAGGGGAGCACTTATGTGACAGGTGCTTCTGTAGGGTGCATTTAGTTCTCTGACGTTATTAAGGAATAAAACTACAGAGGTCAAAGAGGAGGCTGGGAGCAAAGTCATCTTTTGCAGTGGGTGTACAACCATCCATTTCCTTAATATATAGGATTTGGACTGCAATTCCAGAGCATCCTACTTCAGATTGGGAGGATTAATTGTGTGGTAATTCAACACAGTTAAGAGGACTCATTGGGTAAAAAAACATATTTTTACTTACATGTTAATATTCTCTTTAGGGCTTATGCAAAACTGACACACAAAGGCTCCTTCTGGTGGACTTCAGCAGCATTATCCAAGAGGTGGAATGGAGCAGCTGTGGATCACCAAACCAAGTGTCCCGGATTCCACTGAAAATCCTAGAGAAGGTGGCACTGCAAGGCTATSCAGGTACAGAACCATGGAGAAATGGTGGTCCCTGCTGAAAGGATGAAAACCAAATTATGGCAGGAAGTTATACCTTTGGGAGCACAAGAACAGGACAGAGGTGGGGAAACAGCAGCAGGGGAGATGTTCCCTATTCCTTGGTCTCTGCAAAGCCCCAAAGTCCCTTCTGTTCTTGTCCCTCCCTTGGCAGTGAAGCTTTGTGGTGCTCCCCTTGAACACTTGTCTGGGCACTTCCCCTTTGTCTCTGGGAGAATTGAGACATCCCAGATTTGATCTGCAAGCCATTGGAGCCCCTGCCTCATTCCTTAGCAAACTGATGGGCTTTAATTTCAAAATGGAGCAGGGCTACTGTGGAGCTCTGGCCTTTTTCAGCTCCTGCTGCTGCTTGGCTGAGACTTCATGGCTGTAGGGCAGTGCCCTTGGGTTTTGCCATGGATACCCGCTTATTGCAACAAGAGCAGATGAAACAMCCCCCTTCGAAGCTCCACAGTTAAACAAGTTAACTGGAGAGCAAGGGACTTACTGTGGGAACTGTTTGGTTTGTTAGTTTTACTAATGCTCAGTCTGGATGCTGGCCACCAGCGAGGCTGTGAACAGGGACATCTCGAGGGGAGCTGCATTCAGGGGCAYTTGGTTCAGGTTAGAGCAGGAAATTCTGCATCTGGGCCCTCTGTCTCAGATTTTCTGGTTTGATGCCCTGGGCACACCGTAAGCATTGCTTAACACAGAGCTGCTCCTGCAACAGGAAGTAAAAAATTAAAATAATTCTTCTTTGGGCCACTTGTAACAAAAGAGTTGAGCAGAGGATGTTCCCAATCTGGACTGCTTTTGAATAGGCTTATGCTTCTGTAGGAATCTTCCAATAGGACTATTTCCTTTTCTGAATATTCCAGAACTGAGTGAACTCTGTTTGCTTTTGTTGGTTCAATGCAAGCAGACCATCAGCTCTAGTGGGCACAAAATGATCTGGTTTAATGTGCAAGAAACCGGCATTTAAAACAACATCATGATGCTGGTGCCACATGGGTATGGAYATTGGTGACACTGGGACAGAGAACAACAAATGGAGCACCTGACTTGACTCTTCTGGACCACGTTATAGAGCGTGGCTAAAGGAAATGTCACTGAAAATCCAGTTCTACTTCCCCAAAMCTTCCTGCCCACCCACTTGATGTCCCTTCACAAAATGAAAATTGCAYGTCTGTGCCACGACAAAGGGCAAACAAAATCAAGTAACTGCAAACAAGATTCCTGAAAAAGGAGGGGCTCAGGGGATGAGCAGAGCTCATCACTGCTTGGAGGATCTTGCACAGGAAGTGAACTGCAAGCCTTGGGTACAAGTCTAGATGAAAATAAAGGCATGATATGGCCAAGGAAACAAAGAGGCTGTGCCATCACATTGCTCATACCTCTGCAGCTGCCAGCAGGGAGAATGTCTGTGTTCAGGAAGGTTGTGCTTTGCTCTTTGCCACCATGCTTATTTCCCAGGAGTTTCTCTTGGTTTTCAGCTTGCCACCTTTCCTTCCACGTGCCCTGGAGCCAGTCGTGTGTGCCAGGGGAAGAATGAAGCACCTGTTTGGAACAAGCAAGGACCACGTCAGCAAGGAAAGGTGGTGGAGATGTGCTGCAGCCACCCTGAGTGATCCAAACTGCATTTCTTGTGCTGGCTCCTGTGCTCTTGGGGAATTTCTCCTGCACAATGTCCACGTTGCTGTTTATCCAGGTACAGCCCCTGGGAGCTGTGTGTGTACAGACTCTCCCAGCCTTGGCAAAGCACTTTGGGGAGCTGGAATGGCACTGGGCTGGGGACACAGCCCATCAGCCCGGGGCTGCCAGCTGGGGATTGTCACAGTCTGACAGCAGGGAGCTGGGCTGGCTTTCTGAGCAATCAAAATACTGCCCTTGATTAGGATGGTGGCTTGTTTTCTGGCATTGTTGGCATCTCTGCCAAATAGTTTTGTCATCATCAGTATTGTAATGTCTTGGCCTAGAGCAATGGTAACCCTTGCCTTTCCTGTGACCTTGGGGATGATTTCTCTTTGGCCTTTTAGTGAGTGACTAATGGAAAGTGCAGATGTTCATATTGCCTCTAAATGATGTAATAAATACAGGAAACCCTTCACCAGCTGATCTTAGCTTCTTCTTTACATTGTAGAAGGCAGGAAAGGGACGATGAAGGGTTACAAACAGAAAAGGAACAGGACAAAGCAAACAACTCATAGTGGTTTCTGGGACAGAAGTTTCCATCCAGATTTTCTACCACAACTTCTCCATTAACATTGAGCGCTGAGAAACAGAAGCTGTGAGATAAAGAGAGATCCAGAAAAAAACATTTTTCTGTTATGACAGCATCAGGTGGTGTCAGCAGAACTTTGTAGGCCAAAATACTGACAATTACATCAGGTTTGCCTTTAGTGATGTTATGGAGGAAGAGTCTTTTCAGGAACCRGCTCAGATATCCCCAAATCTGAAAGGCAGGGCCCAGGGAGAAGGGAGAGCAAGWGAAGGAGATAAAACCACTTGTCATCACCTGCTAAACACAACTTCCAATAAAGATACTGCTCCTTTCCTGAATTCTCGCACAGAAAATCTGTCTCTTTAATGGAAATATCTTTCTCAGGCTGGGATTTAATTATCAAAAGGGTTTTTCTCTCTCGAAGTTTTTTAAGAAAAAAACATTCCATTTGAGTCAAACTGCAAACTGTACATCTCAAAATAGTTAAACAAATATTTTTGCTATTTTGATTTTATGTTGTACTTTGGGAAAATATTAATTGTAACTTCACTTCATACTTTCAAAGTTTGAAAACCACAAAACCACATTTTAAAATGAGCAATGAATCATTTAGTATTCTTTAAAGGAAGCGGAAAATGTAAGGCCTTTTGAAACAGCATTAATAATTTTTTCCCAAATATTTGTGGAGTTGTTATGCTAAAACTAAGTGGTATTTTCTGATTTAAAAAAAGAAAACGCCAGAAGGCTTCTAACAATCTCTGCCAAAGCTGCCAGGKCCACATCTCATGACCTTTCCATGGGAGTGCACGTGACACTGGTAGCACAAACYGAGCAGGATCTGCCCACCCACCCCAARCAGGGAACAGACAGGACACAGAAGAGCATGAAATGAGATGTCTCAGCTCTGGGATGTGCAGCACAGTTGTGTGRACACAACAGATGYTCTTAACAGCGAAAGAAAAGTGACTCCAGAGCTGYRACACRTCCATAGCAYTGGRCAGGCCTGGTTTCTGTCCCACTTCCCACAGTGAGCACACCCAGGTCTCACCCATGGATCACCCCCTAACCTCATGGTCCTTTCCTCCAGGCTGCTGTATTTTAGTCCTTCCTGATACAGACTCTGCTCTGATATCACTTTCCCAATTGTGGTGCTTTTAGAAGGTATTTAATGCCCACAATGAACCTGGCCAAGTGCAGAAGAATATACATACACACACATGCACGCCCCAAAAAAATTTGGCAAGGTAATTAACCTTCCTTAAAGGTTTTGTTAGAAACTCTGAGAGCCTTCTAGTTACCATGTCCACTCTGTTTAAACACCAGGCAGAAAAGATTCGTTGCAGTGGCTCTGAACAGGATATAAACACAATTGGAATGTCAAGACAACAAACCAATGTATCAGCTTTGGATACAGAAGCTTTGTCCATGGAACCTGGAAAGGTATTTAAAAAGAAAAACACAGTTACCTGCACTGAAATGTGGGCAGGGTGATTCCAGCTACTATGTGATCTCAAAAAATCAAAAATGGGCCTTTTACAAAAATAAAAAACCAAACAGTTACAATGGTGGTACAGCACAATCAGTGGCTGCAAGGGTCAAAGCTCACTTGGGCGATGCCATCTGGTTCCTGACAGTCCAACATCCACATCCAATCAGCTGAGCAGTGACTGCTGCTCAGGGAAAGCCATCAACAGCTCAACARGCAGCTGCCAGCAACACCATGTCCCCAACATTGCAACAGGACAATGCCATCAGCTGAACRTGACAAGTGGAACAAAGGCAGGCCACTTCCTGCTCGATCACACGGCCCAGCCAGTGCCCATCATGCCYTTGGCCAGGGGGTAAACACACAGAAAAAGGTGCAAGGCAACAAAGAGGGCACGTTTGACACGCATTCTCAGTCAGCTGATCGGTGTTTTGAGCTCSTGAACAAAGGATGGATCAGTACAAAATCAGGAAACCCATTCTGCTGCTTGGAGCATGGTTTTCCTTTTGCCAGCCTGGGGRTGCCAGGGCCAGTCCTACCTCAAAGGACATTTTTYAGCCTACAAGGAGAAAATCCCACTCTTCTGTTTCCTCAGCAGAAGGGCAGCTGTGACAGCACTGTTCATGAAGATGAGGAGAYCTGTTAAGAGTGAGACTCGAGCAAGTAGGTCACTGGTGGGAAATACTCCCCTGGGCCAAGCCATGTTCAGAATGGTTTGGAGAGTTTATTCATCCCCTCTCTCATCTCCCTGCTGCTGTTTGCAGCACCACCAAAGAAAGGTGCTCRGATGATGAACTGGATGACCTCAGCCATTGTGAAAGGCACAGGTCAGCACTGCAGAGGGACTCCAGCTGCATCACGCAGCCAATGGCTGAACAAAAGCTAGAAGGGTTCAATGGAAAAGGTTTTGCTAAGCTGTTCTCTTTAAATAGACATTTGCCRTCTTTCTGTGGTTTTGTGAAAAGCCATTTCAGCCTGGTGAAAGTGTTTCTGAAATGCTACATACTCATGTTTGAAGCCTGACAGTATTCCACAAATGTAAATGTCCTTCTTTACAATTATATAGATTCTGTTCCATAAATKAAACATTAATGCCTGAACAACCAACTGCTGTCTGCCACCCTGCTGCTGCAGACCAAGAATGAACATTACTTAGGAAAGGGAGACCTCCAAGGAAAAGAATCAGGTATCTGCAGAGAGCAATTACCTGCCAGTCAGTGATACCTGACTCCAAATAAATCCCACTGTTACAGCAGGAGCATGGCAGACWGCTGTCCTTCCAAAGAAAAAAAAGAYTGCAAAGATTGTATTTGAACTCCAGTTTGAGTCACTTGAGAATAGTTTGAGCTACTGCATTATCTCTGCCTGTACTGAGTGCAATAATCATGGTATATTCTGAACAAAATGCATCTCCCTTTGCTGTAGATCAGTGGTGAGCTGCATTTTGTAGGCAAGGAAAGGAAGGGGATGGAAGCAGTTGGCAGTGGGTCAGAAAAGGACATCTGAGCTCACAGCTTTCTGGGAGATGGCTCAACTGTGAGTATCTTGGGAGGAGCTGAGGAAAATCGCTCAGTTTTAGCTTCGTAGCATTCAGAGGAACTGAGCATTATCACTTCCCYTATCTGGTCCAGCAAACCAACATCTGCATTTAGCAAAAAATAATGACAGAAAGCATTCCCTATAAACTACGTTTATCAACAAATACACCCTCAAGAAGGAGAGGCTTAGCTGATCCACTAACAGCAGTTTGCAGCATTTTTCCATTCCTACAACAAACTCCTTGTTGGATCTCAGCATATCCACACCTCACACATATAAAGCAGCTGCTCCCTGCAGAARACACCCTGGGCAGCAAAGGGTAAACTTTCCCTCTGCCCAGGGAAGAGCATTASCCTAATCTCTTATCTAGGCCTGCTTTTCAGTGGCACCTGATACAGGAGCTATACCAAACACTTCCTTGAATGCATAAAGCCAGGGCTTGGGTTACACAGCATTCAGGAGCTGTGCCACCACTAAGACAAAAGCTCCTATATTACCTGGCACATGCCTGCTAAATTATTGAGGTGTCCCTCCAAACTGAATACATTCACTGGATAATTAGTCAACAGAAGAAAACGGTCTCTCTTTACAAAGCTAATGTTGGCAGGTATTGTATCTTTTATGCACCGCAACAAAAAGCATTTGCAGAACTGATGCAACACAAACATTTGGAATTGCTCTGTCCCTGCACAGGTGTTCCCAAGGCACACTGTCCCCTTTGTGATGCTGCCTCAGTCTGATTAGCACAGCACCAAATTACTGATTAGTATGGCACAGGATTTCTACAAGTAGCATCACTATGGTACAAGCTATAAGTAACAAAATACAGAATTTATGTTATAATTTCTTATAGCCTGGACCCTCTGCAGCTCTGAGGATCTTAATACATGGTTTAGAGTATCAATATAACAATCATAACATCAAACCATGTCACAGCATGTGAGTGACTCAGCCCTGAAGCAGCAGAGGGTGGTGGAGGTACCCGTGGCCATGGGGGTCAGGGCTCTCACTGTCCAGCAGCACTTTGGGTCCCAGCTCCCCATTTTGGATTCCCAACTCCCTGATTTTATGGACAGAGCCCTGGGTGCTGTTGCACTTCCCTGTCTGTGAKGGGCTCAGCAGCAGCCCTGGGCTGGCTGGGTGCCTGGGACCTTCAAGGCCAGCAAGAGGGGAGGAATCAGCCTGAAGCCTGGCAATCTTGATGCCAGCAGTGAGAGGAAGAAGAAACATGTTAAACATGTTTGGTTGACTTGGTTCAGGGACCTTCAGGGACTGATAGTGAGAGAAAGGAAACAAATACCTGACCTGCCTGGTGAGATATCTCTGAGCAGCTAAAAGAACATCTCATGTTTATGGATACCAGATACACTCCTGAAAAACTCAAAATTAGGAATTATTTCTACTTTCCTCTGTTCTCGGAGTATTTTGGGATAACTTGCAGTTACAAATAGCTGTACCTGGTATTCCAGCTCCGTGCAGAACTCCAGGCTGCAGGGAAAGCTTTGCTCAGGAGCCATCAGCACTGCCATCGCCTGGCACCACAGCAGAGTTACAGCGACTGCAGCATTCTGGGCATCCTGCAGCTGCTGGGGTGGAGAAGGTTATTGGGGAATTCAAAATTCCTGTTCTGAATTTATTCCTGTCGTTATTGTGTGCTGCAGCAGTAGATGATGATCTTCACCTGGCTGGAAAAGCTGAACAAGCCAGGGGAAATGTTTTACACAGTTAATGTGCAGGAAAGACTTTAAATAAATCAGTCTTCCCCCAACGACTGCAAATGACACTTCCTTAGCYAATCTGAAGATATAAAAACTAACAGCATTTCATTTTGCCCTCGCTCATGTCTACAAAAAACAGCAGAACAAGACAATAAATGGTTTCTATCATTTCAAAAGCCAAGCACTGTAAACCTTTTGATAGTGGTTTGATATAATTCCTCATTGTGGGCAGTTGCCCAGACACCTCATCTGCAAAAAGACTTCACCATTAAACTGAACCAGGCCTAAGCAATACTTTTATTGAAAYATCCCACATACATCTAATCCCACCCCGCTCTCAAATCCACACCTCTCTGGAGAACAACTCCAAATGACCTGTTTTCCTGGCCGAGGAGCTAAGCTGGAGTACTCACCAATTSAGGATTGCATTTCCTCTGACAGATGGTAAATCAATACGCTCTGCCTGCCTGCCATTGTGCAAACATGTTTCTTTTCATCTCTGAAAGGCTTTAGCAGACAAACTTTGCCAATTATTTCGTTTTCTGAAATACATTTCATTAAACCAATGTGCAAAACCATTGACACGTGAGGGCAGCAGAAGGAAACTGATTTGAAAATGTTGTAAAATGTTCCCATTTTGAGGGGTTTAACTGAACTCCTTTTTATGCCAAAGATTATTTTCCTGCAATAAAATTCATTGACAG